ACTCTGGGAGAAAGTTGATGGATTTCCTCGTGGCTTGAAGTACAATACTCTGCCTAAGACACTTGTGGAAACACAAGGTACCTTTGCTTGTTGATATTTTCTGAAATGATCACGCACTCTACTCGTAGTATTATCGTTTTTTATGTTGTCCCGAAGAATTTTTTCTGGGTTCACTAAAGTATAGATTTTTGTTTAAACTTTATGTATACGGTTTAACCTACAGTTGTCTAAAAGGTCTGCTTCCGACACCGGGGAGGGGGGGGGTGCTCCGTTCGATTTCCTTCCAGGGTAATCCTTGGCATATTCACGAATTCCCTTGAGCAAGAAAGTTGCCGCACATTAGTTCAAAACGGGGTTGTTCAGTCGGTAGATCTTCGAACTCAGACCAGATACGGGTCGCCCTTCTTCCTTCGGTGGTTGATAAACGAGTATCAGGTGTGGGAAGGAAACAGGAGACTACACGCTTCGATTGCCACATGACTGTAGATTCTGCCTAAAAAATAATGCACTCCAGGCTGATGGCATAGAAGTGGAGATTAGCACCGCACCATCAAGTTCATGAAAAGAAGGGCGCCAAAAGGGTCTAATCATGAAACTGTAAAGGAAGACCGACATTCCAGTGGTGGCTAACTCCTTTTCTTTCCTAAACCTTGAACTCGTACCCATTCTGGACTGACACTTGACGAAGGGATCATGTAGGTCATGCGATGGTCCGTAGACTATTTGCAGCCATTTTTGTGACACAGCGTTACATTTCTCAGCGGTGAGTTGTTTGGTTCATAACCTCAACTTTTGTATGTGCGGCTGAGAGCATCATCCCCAAGTTCCAGACTTCAGGCTGATCACAACAAGATTCTCCCTAGCATGCTTGCGACATGCCGGAACCTGATTTCGGAAATCCAGGGTAATGCTAAAATAACTCAATAGTTTAACGAAAACTTTCTTAGAGTTAGGACTGGATATAAATGAAACTCAGACTTAACTAATAACAGAAACACGAAGTAAAGTAATGGTACTTAAAAGAAATACTGACTGTTCTAAATATTGCCACTTATAATGGTAACAGATATAAAAACAACAATTGTTCTTATAATGGTTTGATTAATGCACGTTCTGTAGCTCAAGGATGATAGTGCAGTGATCAATTGATGGTTTTATTTTATAACGCATTAAGGTTGCAAATATCAAAGCTTTAATACTGACAATTTTTCCTCTAGCATCGAGAAAGCATCATATAGTACTAACTATATTTCTTTACGGTTATAAACCCATTTCCAACCTAAAGTGCCTTCGGTTTTACACAAGCGTATTTTGCTGTGGTCACTGAGGACTGATATTCGAATCTTCTGATCTGAAGGGTTTACATTGCAGTTAAGAAGACCCTGATGATCCGTTTGAAGCATAAGTTGATATTTGCTCAAAGACATGCTGCAGTGTTCGGTTACATTATACTCTATTGATGCCACTTCGCTTACTACTAACTTTCTCCTAGTGATGAGAAACCTGTTCAAATTGTCGATGTAGAACAACGGCTGAAACTGACCAGTCGAGGTCTTGCTTTCTTCTCACAGAACGCCGAATTTCCAATTGAGGGACCATGATTTACTGAACTTCAATGAATTCCTTGGTCAGTATATATTAATGAGCTAATTTTTGGGATGTTAAACACCGACAGCAGCAGTAGAACAGAATGCACAAGAAAAACGCATCTTTTCATCGTAAACAAAGAAAACATGAGGTTAAGTTATAGAACAAATAGATAACTGTAAGAAATGAACGAAGCTATGAATTAATTGTGAACAGAACAGTCGTGCAGTCAACAGGGAAATCAGACTCAATCAAAAGGTTTAAATTTTTGTGAAATTTTGGAATTATAACGGAACTGGCAAATAACGAAACCATGTCATTCGTGAAATGAAGGTCGCTGAGCAGCACAAATCGTCATTGCTAATAGTTTGATGCAAAATCTTTGTTAAACTATCTTAAATTTCTAGATGGTTCAGCATTTGAGAAGATGAAGTTTGGACTCTCCTATTTTGTTATTCCTGTCAAGATAACGCTGTTACAACCGATTTTTGTGGGAATGAAGAGCTAAGCCAGCCGCGAAGTAACTATTTTGAGGAAAACTTTGTTATTTTATGACTTGTTTTGCGTTTTATTTCTGGAGCTGTGCTTTACAGAATGGCATCGATTAATATTCCAAGTCGAAGGAGTTTTCAGAAGTTTGTTCGCTTCGGAGTACCGGAAATCGATAAAATACTTTGTGAGGAAATTGAACTCATCTGATCGTATTAATTATTTATGTGATATGTTCTAGCAAACAAAATGTCGGTTGGAAGCCTTATACTGATTGGTAAACGGTAATATTTAATATTCTGGCTTTAATTTAACAGGATTATAACAGAATACGCCGGAAGTTCGAGGTTGGCAAAACTTTTCATTCGCTGTTTCTTGGCCGAAGGAGTCCTTTCAAATCACGGCCTATTTTACGCGAGTTGCAACTCAAATTATGACATAAAGGAGGTAAGTAACAGGTTTTGGCACGTTTCGAAAACAGCATAAGTTTTTGTTGGCTTCAGGATAGGAAAGTTCAAAGGCTTCAAGAATTATGTTAAATTTGACTTTATCCTCACCTATGCTATGTCTGAATATCAGTTACTACGGGTATGAGGAGCTGAAATGAGGTTTCTGCGACGCATTGCTGCGTTCACGGAGTTCAGATATCTGAGAGTGCCTTGACGTACACTCTCTGCTTGTCCAGATTTGGAAGTCGCTTCTGCGATACTTCCAGATAGGAAGGAATTATTACTGTTCAACTGATTATCCATAAATCCATGGGATGGCCAGGAATGACAAGTGAAATGCTCAAGACACAGTAAACATTCTGCCGAAGCTCAGACGCTGTCACAAGCTCGGGAACATTGTAGGTAGTCTCTGACACTTCTGCTTCCGCGATTCGAAAGATAAGCGATCATTGAAAATGACTTACTTCTAAATTTCAGTCATTAAACATATTTAGATGGGGCATTTATTTGTTGCAAGCCA